CCTTTCACAAAACGTTTCTCCCTGGAAGGTGATGCTGTTTGATAGCATTTTACCAACAGTCGATCTTCTTTTAAAATTAGAGTTAATCCTCACAAACCTGGTTGCTGTTTTATCAACTAAGTTTATGTAATATTCTAAATCCTTTGTTCTAAATTTCAGCAATGTTCACAGTATCTTCACTGGGAGTACATTTTATCTCAGGAAACCACTTTCTTTGCTCATCCATCAAATGAAATTCCTTATCCACTCAAGTTTTGTTATGAGATTGCAGCAATTCAGTCAAATTTCCACAGGTCGCTCCTAATTCTGGTTTTTTTTGCTATTTACACCACATCTGCAGTGACTTCCTTCACTAATCTTGAGCCCCTCAGAGTCATCCATGTGAGTTGGAATCAACTTCTTCCAAATTTTGTTAATGATATTTTGACCTCCCCCCTTGAATCACAGATGTTCTTAAATGTTATTTAAAATATATTTTAGATATCATGAATCCTCTCTAGAAGGCTTTCAATGTTTTGCCAGTTTCATTGGACAAATTGCTGTCTATGGCAGCTGTAGCCCTATAAAACTGATTTCTTAAATAATAAGACTTGAGAGTCAAAATCACTCCTCAGTCCACGGACTCCAGAATGAATAGTGTGTTTGCAGGCATGAAAACAACATTAATCTTGTACATTTTCATCACAGTTCTTGGGTCTCTTATTGCATTGTCAATCAGCATACTATTTTGAAAGGAATCTCTTTTTTTGTTGTTAGAGCAGTAGGTCTTAACAGTGAGTTTAAAATATTTAGTAAACTATGCTATAAGCAGATGTACTGTCATCCAGGCTTTGTTCTTCCATTTAGAGAGCACTAGCAGAGTAAATTTAGCATAATTCTTAAGGGCCCTAGAATTTTTTGAATGGTAAATGGGCATTGGCTTCAACTTAAAGTCATTAGTTGCATTAATCCCTAATGAAAGAGTCAGCCTGTTTTTTGAAGCTTTGAAGCCAGGTATTGACTTCTCCTCTCTAACTATGAATGTCCTAGATGGCATCTTCTTCCAATATAAGACTGTTTTATCTACAACAAAAATCTGTTATTTAGTGGTCACCTTCATCTATTATACTAGCAAGAACTTCTTGATAACTTGTTGCAGCTTCTACATCTACACTTGGAACTTCACGTTGCACTTTCATGTTATGAAGATGGCTTGTTTTCCTAAATGCCATGAACCAACCTCTGCTACCTTCAAACATTTTTTTCTGAAGCTTTCTCATGTCTCTTAGCCTTCATAGAATTAAACAAAGTTAAGGCTTTGTATGGGGCCTTGGTTAAGGGAATGTTGTAGCTGGTTTGATCTTTTACCTACACCACTAAAACTTTCTCCATATCAGCAATAAAGTTGTTTCACTTTCTTATTATTCATCTGCGCTCCGGAGTAGCACTTTTAATTTCCTTCACAAACTGTGCATTTGCACTCACAGTTTGGCTACATATTTGTCACAGAAGGCTTTGCTTTTGGCCTGTCTTGGCTTTTGACATGCCTTTCTCATTAAGCTTAATCATTTCTAGCTTTAGACTGAAAGTGAGAGATGTACAGCTCTTTCTTTCACTTGAACACTTAGAGGCCACTGTTGGGTTATTAATTGGCCTAATTTCAATACTGTTGTGTCTCAGGGTATAGGGAGGCCCAGGGAGGGAAGAGAGACAGGGAAATGGCCACTTGGTGGAGCAATCAGAACACACACATATATTGATTAAGCTTGCCATCTTTCATGGAAGTGATTTCTGGCATCCCAAAGCAATTATTATAGTAACATCAAGATCACTGATTACAGATCATCATAATAGATACAATAATAATGAAAAGTTTGAAATATTTCAAGAATTACCAAAATATAACACAGAGATACAAAGTGAATACATGCACTTGGAATTATGTTTATTAATGCTTTTCATGATTTGCCTCCACATTTCATAGAAAACTGGTAGCATTTTCCATGTTCCCATTAATACCATCTCTTGTCTACAGCAGAGGTCAAGTCATAGCACATTCCCTATCATGCTTCACACCCTCTCTCAATTTATTATAGCCTGTCAAATTCAATAGGAGCTGAAATAATTTTAACCCAATAATCTGAAACTCAGCTACCACTTGTTGAACAGTCTTTAAATTTGTGCCTTAGCCCTCATAATAAAATGTTATCTGTTCACAACATACTTTTACCCCAATTCTGGTAACTAGATTCCCATTTCATTCACTGTGCCTGAATCACTGGATGATCGATGAATATAGAGAAACTATATAAACAACAGTATAAAACAAAAAACTGTAAACAAGTGGAATAGAAGCCAGTAAGTCTTTACTCTAATATTTTTTACAATATGATGTATCAACCCTGTTTGTAGGTGAAGAAAAGTATTCCTTTATAAATAAATATCCAGATTTTAAACTTCCAAAAGCGTTGTGGAATAGAAATAATATAATATGAAATAAAAGTTATTAACTATTTAAATAACAACAGTGCAAAGGGAAAGTCTCCTCACCATTATATAATCCTCATTGCTAGATGATTGTGGGATCAATCATGGCATTCTCACATTTCTCCTGTGCACTATCCATGTTCTTGCCTTTACATACTTCTATTTTCTCTCTTTTTTCCCTCTAACTATTATCATCTGAGTTTAGGAAAATCACAATCAGAAAATGATTTTCTGTCCATCACAGCTCTTCATCTACTCCTGTCAGTTTTTTCTTCTGAAAGAGGAGACAAAGAGTCCGCATTTTCAGGCTGTTAAAGGAAGTCCGTGAAGAGGGAACATTAACATAAGCAATGTCCATCATGCTGAATGGAAATTCTAGTAGAGAACAGAGTGAAGCATAACGAAGTTGAAATCTTAAGAGTCCAAAAGCAGAAATCAGAAGCTAGGATACAAAGTCAGCAATATGAGAGAAGAGAGTCAGAGGCAAGTAGTGGGTGCGTGTCTACCTAAAGCAATTTCATAGACAGTCCATGCTGTCTACCATACATGATTGTTTAAGATGCTATCTATGGTGTTGTCTATAGACAACTCTTCTGAGTTTAGGGAGACAGCTAGCACACTTGTTCTGCCCAGTAGTTCAATGGGGGACTCCGGGCTCAGAACACATTCATGACCTTCTCTATGTGATCATCATTTTTGAATGCTCTTGGAAATTCAGGAATATATCCTGCTTCTGAATATTTATTCTGCTGTTAAGGAGCAAAGGACATGATGCATTAGGCCTAGCATATGAAACTTGAAAATGTGTAGTACTATGACCATACATAAAGGTGGTAGGGGGAGAATGAGAGACAGGCACTTACTTCATTAGTGAGAAAATACAAAAATGTGCTCAGGACAATCTAAATGCATTTGAGTGTATGGTATGTAATGTATTGTTTCAATATTCTAGAAGCCAGTTGGACATACTACTTATTGTCTGGTTTTATGAAAATTCATGTTTGGAATTGTCATATAAAATGTATCACCATGGGCAAAGAAAAAGGAAAATGGCAAAAGCATTTCTAATTTCTGTTTGAAAACTGGACAAGGTTCATGGCATGTATTATTTCACCCTCTCAGCAATCCTATAAAACTGTATACTGGTAATTAGTATCCACACTTTACAAATGAGGAAACTGAGACTCTAAAATGTTAAATGATAGCTTGTTTCAAATATACACCAATCTGCACACTCAAGTGATATGGAAAGATTTTAATCGATAATAACTATTACAATAGAAAAAATTGTCCAGTGTAGACTGAACTCAGCTTCAATTTGTATAGAGATTACTAAGTATTTAAATTAAGAATGAGGAACTAGGGAGAGGAGAGAGTAAGGGATCAGTTGAATCAGGGAAGTGAAGAATTACAAAGGGTCACCCAGAGTAAATGGTATTAAGCTAGCTGTGTCTGCCAGCAGGCAATTATCAAAGTTAGTATTCTATCTTCACACAGGGAATGGAAGACAGAGGCCCTATCCTCAGGGGTTGACTGAAACCAACTGTAAAATTTTGGGGTCAGACTTGAGTCTTCTCAGGCAGACAGTTTAAGAGGGGCTTGAATTATGTTAGAGATGTGGCCTTGAGCTGTTAGAACCTATGTTAATATTTTTTCAAGTCCTTATAGCAAAGTGGAGGCCTAGTCAAGAAAAGGACTCAGAAAAGCCTGGCTTAAGTTTGGTCAAGAAGAGAAATTTCTCACTTAAGAGCACATATCATAACTAGCCAGTGATAAATCTACTCTCGAATTAAGTATTAAGGCACTCTCCAAAATATATGCATTTAAAGAGTACAAAGTGTTCAAGACAAGTGATTTCTACATGAACCACAACTCAAAAATTTATTTCTTAGAAAAATCATTGCATGACTCTTCTGGTAACGTAACTTTTCTGAAAAGAAGATTAGGGTTATATATAGTGGGTCAAACAAAAATGACGAAAACTCGATGCTCTTTGGTTTTCAGTTACTTGCATCCAAATGAAGACATATTTAGTAAAATTAATTGAATCCTTATAAAGGGCCTAGATCATACCACTCATTCTTCAAAGCACTGGGAACATATGACACAGCCAACAGAAAACCTTACCTTTTCATGGATCCTGCGGTTCTTGCTGCCACGTAAGAAATATTCTAAAGTTTGTGCTTGGAAGCAACAGTGTGCTCTCTCTAAAACTTATTTACATATACATACGTATGCAGATGAGGATTGTGTTTCTCTTGTGTGTGCATGCGTGTGTGTATTTTTTTTTCATTTTTTTTTTTTTTGAAAATAGAAATAATTCTCAGTTCAATAAGGAAAATGTGAACTGTTTCAAGAACCCTCCCATAGGGGTGATTTCGGGGATATCACATATATTCCTATGCTTTCTCATGGCTAAAGAATGGAGACAAGGGTTTGCAAAATACTATAATGCTAAGCATTAATTTTTATCAAAATAAGACTTTAAAATAGCAAACAACTGTCTAGTTGTAAATATTTGAACTTTCTTCCAGCATCTTAATTGCCTCTTTTAAGAACTTTGGGAAGTGGACCCTACATTGTAAAGATAGGATTCAACAAAGCAGAATGTTGCTCAAACGTTGCTCAAAAAGGAAACCAGTGTTAAAGTGATGATTCCTTTGAGCTTATTGTTCTACTCACCACACATTTGTAAGTATCATTATTGTTCTGAACCATTTCAGTAAGTTGATTTCACTAAGAAATTCTTTGAAATTAGATTCCTTATTTTTATCATTTTTGTCTCCAATCTCTTGACTGGTTTAGAAAATTTCATTTGCTTCTTGTGAAGTACAAGACTGAAGATTCATATTGCACATAAAAAATTAATTCTTGGTCCATTATTATTTTCAACCTGTGTTAATAATGTATTAGATGAGTTTATTGCATAGATGTGAATGTATAGATGGGCACATTTTGGGTTAGACTGGTCAGATATGATTCTGAGATCACTCTAATTCCAAACCAAATTTAATGCTATTGGTTTAATGTTTTAAGAAATATGACTCTCAGTTCATAAGAGGGGTTTATTCAAAGTGTACGATGTTTTAGTAAAGGCTATATTTCTGATATTGATTAAGCCATCTTCCACTGGTGTACGAATGATTAATTAACTATTAAATCTTATGACATGAGCAAGCCACAGGACCAACTTTTTAAAAACTACTGAAGTACAAGTACAACTGCATAAAAAGGACATAAAAACCTAATATACATCTTTCCTAATATTATGTCTATTTTAACAGTATATAAAATAAATACTTTTTTAAGATTTAAAAAATTGCACTTAAATAATTATATTCAAGGAAACATTTATCACTCCTACTGTATCTACCATATACAACAGTACTCCAGTTTTTTTCAAGGAAATATAAATCTTTTATTCCAAGAAATAAAGTCATGGGCTACAAATAAATAAAGTAAAAGCATAAGATAATCTTTTTTAGAAGTTCTTAAGTTCTTTAATAATAAACTTCTCATTCCTAAACATTTAAAATGAATTGTGTTAAAGCAAACTAAATATGGCTTGAGAAGGACTCTGTACCTTTATATTTGAGTCCTTGTGGATGAACTGTAACCTAGCTTAATAGGCAGACAAGATTGAAAACCTAACTTAGAAGTATGTGCCTGTGACAATAGCTGAGTCTTGGCCAATTGCAGCAGCCATACTTCAACCACTCATACACTGCTAAGTGTTGAAATAAGACAATGCCAACCTGTAACCAATCCAGCTGTTTCTATACCTTACTTCCAGTTTCTGTATGTCTCTTCCCTTCTTTCATCTATAAATCTTCCACCACATGGCTGCATGGGAGTCTGGCTGAATCTGCTGTAATTCTGGGGGCTACCCAGTTTGTGAATGGTTCATTGATCAATTAAACTTCTTTAAATGTAATTCGCCAGAAGTTTTACTTTTAACAATTGTATCGAAGAAGCATTTTACTTTTCCGCTAAATTATTTTTTTAATTTTACCAATCTAAAATACATAATATTAATTTCATGTTTTCAAATTTAAATACCTCTGGTAATCACTTCTTAGAATTTTGAAATGGAAACAGTATTAGAACAAGTTTGAATCATTTGAATATAACTCTCTTCTCCATATCTAGGCTACTGAGTATTGTGAGGAAAAGTCATACATCTATGAAGATTCATACATTTTCATACTTATTATCTCCATAAGCCCTCTATATTACCACAGTGGCACCAAGTGTTCAGTTTTATACTGAACCTCTCTTTTTTCTTCTGTAGTGTTTATTACAAACATATTTTCCTCTCCTGAAATGTCTAAGACCACTAGAACTGTACTGATCTCACAAATCCCTCTATATTTACTGTCCTTAACCTCCAGAAATTTACCAATAGTTTATTTTTTGACAGAGGGCTCAAAATGACCTATTTATCTTTCAATTTCAACTTAATTTCATTTAGAAGGTCTTTGAATTATTCATTCATTCAACAATTATTTTCTGAGCACTTATAATATGCTGGATATTGATTTAGGTACTAGTTATAAGATGGTGGTCAAAATATCCACAGTCTCTACCCTACCCTCAGTGAGTTTTATCATCTATTAAAAAATATAGCAGAGTTATTATTTACCAATCTTAGAGTTTTCTGGGACTACTATCTCATAAAGCCTGATTTGACTGTCTATGGGCTTCATTTGCAGGGAATTCAACTTCCTAGTAATCAACAGGATAGTGGTAGGCAAGTATGCCCTTTGAATCATAGTCCTGTCAAGCTATCTCCTTTTTTTTTTTTTTTTTTTTGAGATGGAAATCTCCTTCTATCACCCAGGCTGGAGTGCAGTGGCGTGATCTAAGCTCACTGCAACCTCCGTCTTCCAGGTTCAAGCAATTCTCCTGCCTCAGCCTCCTGAGTAGCTGGGATTACAGGCGCCCACCACTATGCCTGGCTAATTTTTGTATTTGTAGTAGAGATGGTATTTCACCATGTTGTCCAGGCTAGTCTCAAACTCCTGACCTTAGGCTATCCACCTGCCTCAGCCTCCCAAAGTGCTGGGATTACAAGCGTGAGCCACTGTGGCCAGCCAGCTACCTCCTTTTTTATCAGTCATGACCAAGTGTTCTCTTTCCTTAGCTGTAAGATTAAGAACTTCTACTTCAATGCAACTAAGTTTATAACAACAAATGACTAGGATATGGTGTTACAGGTGGATAACAACCAGATTTCCAAAGTGGAGGTTTTTCAATAATTTTGATTCTCCCACTAATCACATCTAATGTGTAATGGCCTTTTAGACCTACCCAAGATTATCAGTCAAGTCTCATGTTCCACTAAACTCTGCTTAAAACTTTACGTTCCAACAGTATGGAAGCTTTTTATTTCATTGCATCACATGGAAATTGTACACCATCTTTCACTGGTGTACAAATGATTAATTCACTATTAAATCTGATGACACATTAGGCATCTAAGCATGTTATTACCACTTCCTAGAATACCCTTTTCTTCTTTGTTGATTTATGTTTCAAGGCTAGTATTTTGTTCTGTTATATTATCTCAAACCTTGTATATTTTCTCTTGTGTTTACTATTCCAGGATATCTTTTGTGACCCCTCCATATATGTTGATTGTTATTCAAGACAATCAAATTCTGTTTTGGTACTTGCTGCATGGTAGTTAAATGATCCCTTTTGAAACAGCTTCCCAGTAAAAGGACATGACATTATTTACCTCCGTATCCTCCATGCTTGGAACAGTAGGTGTTAAATAAATAGGTGGTAAACTAAAATTAGCATATATAACCAAAGACAGACTCACTGAGTTTTGGCCACATAATTGGATCAGCTTCTGTAGTGTATATATTGTGTATTTCTAGTACTATAATATGAAGAGTTGGTCCTTACCAGAGTGTGCTTGGTGTGCCAGAATTTAAAAGTATTTCCTTGATTAGAAAGTGTGTTTAATTTCTGTAACCAAAACATAGGAACCCATTTCCCAGCATGACTATAGGTTTTCCACATGTGAATAAATCATTATCCTGTATCTAGAATATTTAATTTCTTTCTTTATCTTCTCCTTCTCAGGCAACATTTGATGCAGTCATTCACAATGGAAAAATGCATTCTCCTCAACAGATTTGCAGAAACTCTTACTTTGGTCACACCTGTCTGGGAAGAGTGGTATCCTGCTGAATCAGTCAACTTCACTGTTATTCTCAGCTTTGAGTGGCTTAATTGTCAAGGTATTCTATGGCACCTTTACAGCAGGGTTAACAACTTTTTGTCTGATTTTCAAGGACAGGTTGAAAGGAAACAGTGAGCCTCTGTTTGTCTCAATATCATTGTTTTGCACAGGGATATGCAGCTTTAATTTCACATATTTGGCAAATCCAGGTGATATTTTAGAAATACGGGATTATAATTACCAATGAGTTTCTCTCTTAGGTAGACAATAAATACATTGAAAACTTTGTGACATTTTATAGCCAGTGAAAGGCTATTTCTTCTTATGTCATTGATGAACCAAGGTAACTTAATTGTATTTTTTTTTAAATGAAGCACAGACTATATGAAAATTGATTTACATTGTTTTGTATAGTTATAGTCTATAAGATTTCCAAAGTTATGTTAAAAGTCCAATTTTAACCAGTATTTAAATTCAGAAATGCCTACTTATGTTTGGTTATTCATGAAAGAACACCTATTTTTCTTTTTTATTACTATTAAGCTAGGGATGGCTCTGGACTCTAAGAATATATCAGTGAGTAAGTTTCAGCATTCATAGAACTTGTACTTTATGTGAAAGGGAGATTAACACAAGTATTTTTTTTAAAGGCTGTAGATCACGACAAGTGCTATAAAGATAATATTCTATTTAAATGAATAAAGGGTAACTAGGATACAGGGTGGTCAAAAATCCCTTAAAACAGATGACATTTGAGTAGAGACAAGAAAGAATAATGAATAGCTTCCAACCATTTAAATAGCCGAGAAAAACAAATCCAAGCAGAGAAAAATAGCAAATGGAAATTCCCTACGAATAAATGGTTTTGGTTTGTCAGAGGAAAAACAAGAATGCCAGAGTTGCTAGAGAGTGGATGCGAAGCAGCAGAATGAGAGATGAAATCAGGGGAACACATGGGAAGTGGTAAACTACAGAAATAAGTTTGATATTTATTTAAGTAAAATAAGAAAATAGTTGAAGAATTTTAAGGGAGGGAGTGTTGTGATATGGTTTGTGTTGTAAAAGGTAACTTTTCTTAGCATTCCTTGATGTATATGTACCATATTTTCTTTATCCAAGCTATCATTGATGGGCATCTAGGTTGATTTCATGTTTTCGCTATTGTAAATAGTGCAGTGATGAATATACAAGTGCATGTGTCTTTTCTTTTGGGTATATACCCAATAATGAGATTGCTGAGTCAAAAGGTAGCTCTGTTTTAAGTTATTTGAGAAATCTCCAAGCTGCTTTCCACAGTCACTAGAAATTTATAAGCATTCCCTTTCCTCTGCAGTCTTCCCTTTCCTCTGTAGCCTGGCTATTACCAGAAAGTCAAAAAACAGCATTTGAATTTTTAATAGTCTCCATAATAATGGGAGACTTCAACATTCCAATGACAGTATTAGAAAGATCATTGAGGCAGAAATTAACAAAAATATTCAGGACCTGAACTCAAGATTAGACCAAATGGATCTGATAGACCTCTACAAACTCTCCACCCCAAAACAAAAGAATATGCATTATTCTCATTGCCACATATGGCACATACTCTAAAATCAACCACATAAGGCCAGGTGTGGTAGCTCATGCCTGTAATCCCATCACATTGGGAGAGCCAGATAGGCAGATTGCTTGAGCTCAGGAGTTCGAGACCAGACTGGGCAACATGGGGAGACTCTGTCTCTACTAAAAATACAAAAAAATAGTCAGGTGTGATGGTGTGTGCCTGTGGTCTCAGCTACTTCAGGAGGCTGAGGTGGGAGGATCGCATGAGCCTGGGGAGCAAAGATTACAGTGAGCCAAGACTGCACCAGTGAACCCCAACCTGAGTGACAGAATGAGACCTTGTCTCGAAATAACTAGATAAATACATAAATACAATAACAAACAAATACATAAATAAAATTGACTACATAATTGAATGTAAAACTATCCTCAGCAAATACAAAAGAACCAAAATCATACCAAACACACTCTTGAACCACAGTCCAATAATAATAGAAGTCAAGGATATGAAAATCACTCAAAACCATGCAATTACATGGAGATCAAACAACATGCTCCTAAATGACTTTTGCACAAATAATGAAATTAAGGCAGAAATCAAGAGGTTCTTTGAAAATAATGATAACAAAGGTAAAACACACTAGAATCCCTGGGACACAGCTAAGGCAGTGTTAAGTGAGAAATTCATAGCACCAGATACCCATATCATAAAGTTAGAAAATTCTCAAATTAACGACTTAACATCACAACTGAAATAATTAGTGAAACAAGAAGTCAACCCCAAAGCTAGCAGAATACAAGAAATAACAAAAATCAGAGTTGAACTGAAGAAAATCGAGACATAAAAACCATTCAAAAGATCAACAAATCCAGGGGTTCCTGTTTTGAAAACTATAAGGTAGATAAGCCACTATTTAGACTAATAAACAAGAAAAGAGAGAAGAATCAAATAAATATAATTAGAAATAACAAAGAGAATGTTACCACTGACCCAACAGAAATAAAAACAGCCATCAGAAACTACTACAGACACCTCTATGAACACAAACTAGAAAACAAAGAGACGGATGCATTCCTGGACACATGCGCCCTCCCAAGAATGAACCAAAAAGACATACATTCCCTGAACAGACAATAATGAACTCCAAACTTGAATCAGTTATAAATAGTTTAGCAATCAAAGAAAGACTAGGACATGATGAGTTCACAGCCAAATCCTACCAGATGTACAAAGAAGAGTGTGTAGCATTCCAACTGAAACAATTCAAAAAAATTGAGGAGGAGGAACTCCTTGCCCACTCATTCTATGAGGCCTGTATCATCCTGATACCAAAACATGGCAGAGACACAACAAAAAAAGAAAACTTCAGGCCAATATTCTTGATGAATATCAATGAAAAAATCCTCAACAAAATTCTTGAAAACCAAAATCAGCAGCACATGAAAAAGCTGATCCACCGTGATCAAGCAGACTTCATCTGTGGACGCAAGGTTGCTCCAACATATGCAAATCAATATATGTAATTCACGTAAACAGAACAAAAAAGAAAAACTACATGGTTATCTCAATAGATGCAGAAAACGCTTTTTACAAAGTTCATCACCACTTCAAGTTAAAAACTCTTGACAAACTAGGTATTGAAGAAATATACCTCAAAATAACAAGCGATATCTATGACAAACACACAGCCAATATCATATTGAATGGCTAAAAGCATTCATTTGCCTTGAAAATTGGCACAAGACAAGCAGGCCCTCTCTCACCACGTCTTTTCAACATAGTATTGGATGTCCTAGCTAGAGCAATCAGGCAACAGAAAGAAGTAAAGGGCATCCAAATAGGAAGAGAGGAATTTAACTTACCTCTATTTGCAGAAGACATGATTCTATATCTAGAAAACCCCACTGCCTCAGCCCCAAAGCACCTTCAGCTGATAAACAGCTTTGGAAAAGTTGCAGGATACAAAATCAATGTATGAAAATCGCTAGCAGGCGTGCCCAAGATGGCGGAATAGGAACAGCTCCAGCCTCCAGCTCCCAGTGTGAGCGACACAGAAGACAAGTGATTTCTGCATTTTCAACTGAGGTACCGGGTTCGTCTCACTGGGGCATGTCGGACAGTTGGTGCTGGTCCACAGGTGCAGCCCGACCATCGAGAGCTGAAGCAGGGCGAGGCATCACCTCACCTGGGAAGTGCAAGGGGGAAGGGAATTCCTTTTCCTAGCCAAAGGAAATTGAGACACACAACACCTGGAAAATTGGTTAACTCCCACCCTAATACTGCGCTTTACCAAGGGTCTTAGCAAACGGCACACCAGGAGATTATATCCCATACCTGGCCCAGAGGGTCCCATGCCCACGGAACCTCCCTCATTGCTAGCATAGCAGTCTGAGATCTAACTGCAAGACAGCAGCAAGGCTGAGGGAGGGGCGCCTGCCATTGCTGAGGCTTAAGTAGGTAAACAAAGCCGCCAGGAAGATCAAATTGGGTGGAGCCCACCACAGCTCAAGGATGCTGGCCTGACTCCGTAGACTACTCCTCTGGGGACAGGGCATAGCTAAACAAAAAGCAGCAGAAACCTCAGCAGAGGTAAATGCCCCTGTCTGATAGCTTTGAAGAGAGCAGTGGATCTCCCAGCACAGAGATTGAGATCTGAGAACGGACAGACTGCCTGCTTAAGTGGGTCCCTGATCCCTGAGTAGCCTAACTGGGAGGCATCCCCCACTAGGTGCAGACTGACACCTCACACCTCACACGGCTGGGTAAACCCCTGAGATGAAACTTCCAGAGCAAGAATCAGACAGCAACACTTGCTGTTCAGCAATATTCTATCTTCTGCAGCCTCCACTGCTGATACCCAGGAAAACAAGGTCTGGAGTAGGCCTCAAGCAAACTCCAGCAGACCTACAGCTGAGGGTCCTGACTGTTATAAGGAAAACTAACAAACAAAAAGGATACCCACACCAAAACCCCATCAGTACGTCACCATCATCAAAGACCAAAGACAAATAAAACCACAAAGATGGGGGAAAAGCAGTGCAAAAAGCTGGAAATTCAAAAAATCAGAGCGCATCTCTCCCTCCAAAGGAATGCAACTCGTCGCCAGCAACGGAACAAAGCTGGATGGAGAATGACTTCGACGAGTTGAGAGAAGGCTTTAGTCAATCAAACTTCTTAGAGCTAAAGGAGGAACTAGGTACCCAGTGCAAAGAAACTAAAAACCTTGAAAAAAGAATGGATGAATGGATAATTAGAATAATCAATGCAGAGAAGACCTTAAAAGAACTGATAGAGATGAAAACCATAACATGAGAACTACGTGACAAATACACAGGCTTCAGTAACAGATTCAATCAACTGGAAGAAAGAGTATCAGCGATTGAAGATCAAATGAATGAAATGAAGCTAGAAGAGAAGTCTAAACAAAAAGGAGTAAAAAGAAATGAACAAAGCCTCCAAGAAATATGGGATTACGTGAAAAGAACAAATCTACATCTCATTGGTGTGCCTGAAAGTGATGGGGAAAATGGAACCAAGTTGGAAAACACTCTACAGGATATCATACAGGAGAACTTCCCCAACCTAGTAAGGAAGGCCAGCATTGAAATTCAGGAAATATAGAGAACACCAAAAAGATACTCCTCGAGAAGAGCAACTCCAAGAAACATAATTGGCAGATTCATCAAAGTTGAAATAAAGGAAAAAATGTTAAGGGCAGCCAGAGAGAAAGGTTGAGTTACACACAAAGGGAAGCCCATCAGACTAACAGCAGATCTCTTGGCAGAAACCCTACAAGCCAGAAGAGAGTGGGGGCCAATATTTAACATTCTTAAAGAAAAGAATTTTCAACCCAGAATTTCATATCCAGCCAAATTAAGTTTTATAAGTGAAGGAGAAATAAAATCCTTTACAGACAAGCAAATGCTTACATATTTTGTCACTACCAGGCCTGCCCTGCAAGAGATCCTGAAGGAAGCACTAAACATGGAAAGGAAAAACCAGTACCAGCCATTGCAAAAACATGTCAAAATGTAAAGTTCATTGATGCTAGGAAGAAACTGCATCAACTAGTGAGCAAAATAACTGGCTAATATCATAATGACAGGATCAAGTTCACACATAACAATATTAACCTTAAATGTAAATGGACTAAATGATTCAATTAAAAGACATAGACTGGCAAATAAGATAAAGAGTCAAGACCCATCAGTTTGCTGTATTCAGGAGACCCATCTCACACGCAAAGACACACATAGGCTCAAAATAAAGGGATGGAGGAAGATCTACCAAGTAAATGGAGAACAAAAAAAAGCAGGGACTGCAATCCTAGTCTCTGATAAAACAGACTTTAAACCATCAAAGATCAAAAGAGACAAAGAAGGCCATTACATAATGATAAGGGGATCAATTCATCAAGAAGAACTAACTATCCTGAATATATATGCACCCAATAGAGGTGCATTCAGATTCATAAAGCAAGTCCTTAGAGACTCACAGAGAGACTTAGACTCTCATACAATAATAATGGGAGACTTTAACACCCCACTGTCAACATTAGACAGATCAATGAGACAGAAAGTTAATGAGGATATGCAGGAATTGAACTCAGCTCTGCACCAAGCGGAC